GCTTCCTCAAACTCGGCCCGCCAGATGTTTTGAGACTACAATTCCCATCAACCCTGACCAATGGTCCTGCTAGCTAGCTAGGGATCATGGGAGTTGTAGGCCCAAAACATCTGGAGGGCCGAGTGTGAGGAAGCTTGCTCTAACCGCTAGACCACGCTGGCTCTCATAATCTGCCTGATTATGAGTATTCGCTGCCACGCCAGCTTTCAAGATCCCTGCTCCTAGGGTGTGCGCATATATTAATAATAATAATATATTTTTATTTATACCCCGCCCTTCCTGGTTCAAAAACCGGACTCATTGTGTGCTCCCTTCACCCTACTCAATGGCAGAGACGACGGTGGCATTAAGCTGCCCTAAAAACATGACTGATGCGTCACAACAGGAGATAATGCAGTAGCAGCCCGCCATCTGTGCCTTCCACCCAACGCAATCATACAAATAATGCTAATTATCTGGGCAGAACAGTCCAAGCTAGAAGCCAGAGGGCAGCAGCTAAAACCGTCACCGCGACTTTTTCTGCGAGTAGCACCATTGCCGCCCCTGATCCAAATCGCCCTCCGTCCGAAGCCCGCTCCTATCAAACAGTCACAACGCTGCAATTTAGACAAATTGAAAGAACGGCGACAAACTGCTATTAGGAGCTGCCGATTACACGCTGAGCGTCAAAAGGGAAAAGTGGAGTGTTCCAAATGGGGACGCTAAATACAAAGAGCTAATTGCTGTTGCTTCAAAAAAGGAGAGAGAAATAAATAAAACAAAGCCACCAGAAAATGGGTCACAAGGGAGGCGCGCTGCCTTGAAACTGACTGATGTTTGTGGCAGCATCAGAATTCCACACCACATCAAGCTCAAAAGTTGCTGGAACCTTTGGAGGCCTTTGAAGTGGCAGCTGTACACAGAGAGTCAGTACCTATTATTTGGATTCCCTACTGAATACTTTGAGTAAGAGGAGCTGCTGAAAGACTTTAACCGGAGTGGCGTGAAGGCGGCCTGTTTGCAGATCGATCCGCTAAGGCAATCTCCAGCACCTTGAGCGGCTCAGACCTCATTTTAACAAGAACAAGTTTCCAGCTCTCATGAGGCTAGATTTTTGTTGTTGTGGTTTTTTTTTAAAAAGCTAGTTTTGATTAGAAAACGCAACACAAACACACACACACACGGCATGGAGAGCCACCATCCCACAGCGCTTATCACATGCCCCTATTGTTCTTTCACCATACGCTCAATGGGGGAAAATATTGTGAAAAGAAAGACGAGGAACGAAAAGGAGATAATAATGGCTGGACAAAATTGTCCAATACCATCCTGATCTTATGGCTTAACTCTGCTACTGATAGGATGGCATATTCTCATACAGTGGTACCTCGGGTTAAGAACTTAATTCGTTCTGGAGGTCCGTTCTTAACCTGAAACTGTTCTTAACCTGAGGCACCACTTTAGCTAATGGGGCCTCCTGCTGCCGCCACACCGCCATCATGTGATTTCTGTTCTCATCCTGAAGCAAAGTTCTTAACCCGAGGTACAATTTCTGGGTTAGAAGAGTCTGTAACCTGAAGCATCTGTAACCTGAAGCATCTGTAACCCGAGGTACCACTGCATTCACTGTCCTTGGGTAGATTTCCCGTTGGGTTTAGGAATGCAGTCTTAATACTGCTTGTGTCTGTGTATGAGAGAGAAAGATGTATCCATAGCAGTGAACAGAGGAGAAATGACCGCCGGGAGGAGTGCAGAGAGAATAAATGCTATGGTACACCTGCAGCAGCACAACCGGACACCTTCATCTGCTCCAGCTGCAACAAAACAAGTCTCTTCTGCATCGGTCTCCATAGCCACAGTAGTCGCTGCAACCTTCCAACCCAAAGTCTCACACCCAAAGTCACTCTCTTCCTTTGTTTCCTGAAACAGATGGGTTCCAACCACCATATATATATGCCACAAACACATTAGAAGACGTGGCTGAGGGGACTTATGATGGAAGCTTATAATTCTGTTACAGGACACTCAAAAGAAGCGGGACGACAAGTGCTCACGCTCTTCACTGAGAAGACAGGAAGATCTAGCTCAGATCCAACTTGAATAGAGCACACCACTAGACATGTGGATCAGTTAATGTCCTCCTGGGCAGGCCATACATCTTTTTCTCCATCAAAAGATGCACCCAGCAAGTTAAGTAAAGCCCAGAAAAACATTTCATTCATTCATATACCACAAATATGTCAGAATGAATTCTAAGAGTCTTACAACTATACAGTAAGGATACTGATCAAGATACGGATCTGCATACACACCAATGGTGAATCTGTTTTGGCGTGTGGGATGTTTCCTTCCCAGACCAAGGCGAAATCATCAGTTCAGCTTCCTAAGCCCTTAAGGCTGTGAATATAGGCATGAAACCAGCCCGGCGATGTTGGGGACGGGGATTTCAGAATCAGAGAGGAAGAGGAAGATCTCCAGTAGTCAGCAGGGAAGGTTTAGGGGCCAACTTTAGCTACCTGCCCTTCCCCATGAATAGCAGAAACAGGATCTACACAGGTTGCAAAATTTGGAGAGACAAAAATTGGTGCAGAAGATTCATTGCCCTGCTTTCAGTTTTTTTTAATCAAGAAAATACATTGAACCAGATCCTGCCCTTAGCAATACTGCCAGGTCAAAAAGCCAAATTAGCTGGTGCCACCAGGACACTGCAGACAGAGAGAGAGAGAGAGAAAGTGGGCTAAATCTGGTCCATATGCGTGAGGAATCCCAATCTGAGCTACAAGCTTTTATTCATTTGTTCAATGGCTCTTGCCTTTTAGAAAAACCTTTCTTGCAATGTACCTCACAACAACATGTAAACAAGATATAAAACAGCATAATTAAAAAGCAAACTCCCTGAAAAACACATAATCTACTGACAACAGCAACCAGCAATTTATCACTGAAGCTGTGGTCAGTCTAGGAAAACCATAAAAATCACAAAACAGAGCAGCAGCAGCAGCAGCATAACAGCAACCCGATTAAAACCCTTAAAAGTTACGGGAAGCTTATCGAATCCTCATGCAAATATGTGGGTGTTTCATTGCCTTGGACTTGCTGTTCTACCTGAGAAATGAACCAGGGTATTCAGTCAGCTAGCTCAGTGATTAATTTGGCCCCACCATAATGGACATACAATTCCCTGCCTTTGTGTTAGCTCCATCAGTCATTTCCTTAATGTTATTCGATGTCTTCTTTTTTGGTAACTAATTATATGGCAGGGGAGACATTAAAAAGGCCTCAAAACACGTAACAAACAATGTTACAGACAGTTTTCTTTCTTCTCTTAAATGCGCAGGATGCACATTTAAGCAGCTTGTCAACAAAGAGAACATCAGATCTCAACTACTATTTTTAAAAAAAGTTTTTTCCTACTTTTTTGTTGAGTACTGGAAGTTTGTCCCTGGCTCAGATATTATAATAGTAATGCACTTGCTTTTTAAAGGGGAAATGTAATTTTATCTCTCATGGTCAACATGAAAGAAACTCAATAATGCCACAATTCACTCTACAATAATGAGGGGGGGGGTACTCTTTGGGATTAAGAGGAAGAATCTAACTTCCATGCAGAATTTTTAGTACTGAAATGACCATAAGCATGTCATCAAACATCAGGAACAACTGTACATTTAGAGGTACTTGGGACTGACTCTCTATTGGGGGTATACTGTACTGTTTTTATCATAAGACTTTAAATAAAGAGAGACCCCCGGTTAAAGAAACCAGGTTTCAGTGATGGAAAATCTGAAGGAGAAAGGGGAAATGCAATCTATTCTCTGTAGCGGATCATGTGAAAACCTACTGGTCTGGAAGATGCACCCTAATTGTGAAAAACCCATTTGAATTAGCCTATTGATTGCTCATTTGTTAGCCGGCCAGCATCAAATATGTTTTGAGACTGGCTGTGTCCCAGCAGGACTGATCTCACTCTGGATCATTCCGATAGAAAGAGGGAAAGGTTCCGTTGCAGTTGCTTTGCTTTCTATGGACATTAACTCTCTGCACCTCCAAAAGCAAACTTAAACCAAAGAAAGGAAAAGAAATACAGTACAGCTTTCAGCACCTTCAGGAACATAGTAAGCTGCTATTTGCACCAGGTGAGATTGTCCATCTAGCCGGCCATTGACTGGCATTCTCCGAAGTCTTAGATGTTTTTTGCACCACCTGCCAGCTGATCTTTTTAGCTGGAGATGACGAGGTTTGAACCTGGGACCATCTGCACACAAAGCCAATGTTCTGCCACTGAGCAGTGGTGCATCTCTAAGCACCTTTTCCTGGACAGCTTGGCTATCCAAGATCCTTTTTGTTAGTAAAAGATTCCATCAACGTTGTCTCCGAAAAACTTTACACATTGTTTGGAAAGACAGGTGAATTAATGCCAGTGTACTGGAAGAAGCAAAGATCACCAGTGTCAAAGCAATGATTCTTCAACATCAACTTTGTTGGACTGGTCATGTTGTGCAGATGCCTGATGATCGTCTTCCAAAACAACTACTCTATTCCGAACTTAAAAATGGAAAGGATAATGCTGGTGGTCAGAAGAAGAGGTTTAAAGGCAAATTTTTAAAAATGTAGTATAAACACCTACAACTGGGAAACACTGGCCTGTGAGCGCTCCAATTGGAGAACAGCCTTTTACCAAAGGTGTCATGGGCTTTGAGGACACTCGAACTCAGGACGCAAGGGAGAAACGTGCTGAGAAGAAGGCACGCTTTGCAAATCTACACCGTGATCAACTCCTGCCTGGAAACCTATGTCCTGACTGTGGAAGGACGTGTGGGTCCAGAATTGGCCTCCACAGTCACTTACGGACTCATTGTTAAAACCGTGTTTATAGAAGACAATCTTACTCGGCTACGAGTGATCGCCAAAGAAAGAAAGAAGGAGATTGAGCTTGAAACATTCTGCATGGAGGTACATCCACTTACCACTTAGTATAGACCCTCCTCCTGAATATAAATGTGTGATTTTGCCATGCCTACCTTAGATGATTCTGGCTCCCCGTGCTGTCTCTTGGGCGTTCCTTTGGACTCAAGCAACTTAGAAGAGCTCTCCTTCTTATGGGAGGATGAGTCCACTCTCTCGCCTTCAAGTTGCAGGTTAATTCCTTCCGTGTGGACGGCGAGATCGATACCATTTGGATTTAGACTGCAATGGATAGCTGGAAGAAGGAATTGCAATGAGTCTGGAGCGTAGGAAAGGACAACATGAAAGGTTTTCAACATTCTGTTGTACTCTAGCATCACATGAGGAAACGAAAGCCAGGGCATGCATCTTTTAAATCTATGAGATGTAGGCTATTGATTTATTTCATTAAACGTATACACTACTCAACTGTAGAAGAACCCTCAAAGAGGTTCACAAAAAGATAAAATAATACAATCATCAAAATAAAAGTTTGCAGCAATAATTTGAAACATACAGAAAGTTAAAACAACAATAGACTACAACAGATCAAAATTCATCACAGCTTTCTAAGCATGTGGGTAGGCTTGTCTTAAATAAGAAATGCTTTATAGCAGGCACCCAAAAAATACAGTGAAGGCAACTGCTTGATATCAATAGGCAGGGAGTCCCTAAGTTTAGGAGCTGACACACAAAACAACTGAGTTCTTACAAATGTGGAGCAGGTATCATATGTGGCCAATTCCACCGATCGAAGCAGAGAAGTGGGCACATAAGGGGTAAACTGATCTCAAGTTGTTAAGGGCTTTGTATACTAATAGCAGGATGCGGGTGGTGCTGTAGGTTAAACCACAGAGCCTAGGACTTGCCGATCGGAAGGTCAGTGGTTCGAATCCCTGAGATGGGGTGAGCTCCCGTTGCTCAGTCCCTGCTCCTGCCAACCTAGCAGTTCGAAAGCACGTCAAAGTGCAAGTAGATAAATAGGTACCACTCTGGCGGGAAGGCAAACGGCATTTCCGTGCACTGCTCTGGTACGCCAGAAGCAGCTTAGTCATGCTGGCTACATGACCCGGAAGTTGTACGTCGGCTCCCTCGGCCAATCCCAGAGTCGGTCACGACTGGACCTAATGGTCAGGGGTCCCTTTACCTTTACCTTATACTAACAGCAATACAGTGGTACCTTGGTTCTCAAACACCTTGGTACTCAAACAACTTGGAACCCAAACACTGCAAACCCGGAAGTAAGTGTTCTGGTTTGCGAACTTTTTTTGGAAGCCAAACATGCTCCGTTTTCAGTGCCACACTTCCATTTTGAGTGTTACGCTGAAGTCTGCCTGTTTTTGCTATTTATTTTGTGTTTTTGTTTTTGCGGATTCTTTGTTTTGTTTTTGTGACTGTATGGAACCCAGTTCAGCTACTGATTGAATGAGTGAGTGAGTGACTGCAGTACATTGTTTATTGCTTTCATTTTATGGATCAATGGTCTCGTTAGATAGTAAAATTAATCTTAAAATTCTGTTTTACGGGTTGTTTTTAAAAGTCTGGAATGGATTAATCCATTTTGCATTACTTCCTATGGGAAAGCACACCTTGGTTTTGGAACACTTTGGTTTTGGAACCGGCTTCCGGAACCGATTAAGTTTGAGAACCAAGGTGCCACTGTATCTTGAACTTGGCCCAAGAGCAGATCGGCAACCAGTGCAGATCTCCGAGCACAGGAGTTGTATGCTGACAAGACTATGCAACTTGTTGTGAGGGAGAACAAGACGGTTCACACTTTACACTGAACACAAGCTGACTCTACACACGTACTTGCATTTGTGTGAAAGACTGGACTCCTACTGAGTACAGTGGTACCTCGGATTAAGAACTTAATTCATTCTGGAGGTCCATTCTTACCTGAAACTGTTTTTAACCTGAAGCACCACTTTAGCTAATGGGGCCTCCCGCTGCTGCTGTGCTGCCGTTGTGCAATTTCTGTTCTCAACCTGAAGCAAAGTTCTTAATCTGAGGTACTATTTCTGGGTTAGCAGAGTCTGTAACCTGAAGCGTCTGTAACCCGAGGTATCACTGTGGACCATGCAGTCTAATGTTACACACGAATGGCTGTACAGGTATCCTGTTCAACTAGTTGTATTGCACAGATTGTACACTTGTTGAATATGACATGTGAGACCCCTGAAGCATTTACTGTTGCTCTGCCTTAACCCTGTTTCTTCATCCTTTAGACATTTAAAGGATTTACAGCATGTATTGCAAACGCATGTATTTCTTGACATAAGCCAATTAGATGTGGTGTCATTAGACGACGACGGATCCAGCAGGAGGATTTCTTCTGTACTATCTAAGTAATGTTATTCATAGTCTACAAATTGAAAAGTTATGATACATCTAACTTCTTTATTCAGGGTAACAAGGGGGAAGAAAAGCTTACATAGCAATGGCACTCTATAGCAGAATGGATTAACCAGGAAAGAGCTCTTTTAAAGCCTGCACAGAGTCAAATGAGCTGCACTCTCAGCCTGCACTTTCGTAGGATTATTCTATTAACCAAATTTATTTATCCAGTTCCGTACACTAAGCCTTTTTCAAATGACAGTTCTCGGTTTCTTAAACAATTACATGGTGGGGGGCGGGGCGGAGAACAGCTTCTGCACCGAGTTAAAATTGATTGGAATTCAAATCAGTCCACATTATCCAATGTGAGATGTATTCTAAAGACTCCTATAAATGACTAAAGGTTGAAAATCCTTGAGTGAAATCTTTGAAAAATAATTTTAAAAAGACCTCGCCCACATTCCAGCCTGGCAAAAGAATTTGAGGAGGGGGTGGAGCAGGGGTGGAGGAAGGGGGGTGGAGGTGGGCCACCCCAGGTGTCACCACTGAGGGGGGGTGACAAAATGGCGGGCGGCACTCACCGTGGGGCCTGCAAGGCGCCCGAGCCCACACGTCTCTCCTGGGAGTGACGCGGTGGCTTGGGCGCCGGCAGGTTCCAGGCTGCCCCAAACAGTCCACCCGCTGCCTCCCCCTCAGCTGTAGGGCAGTTGAGGGGGAGGAGGCAGACAGACTCCTCAGAGGCCCCACAGGGCATCCTGCCCCAGCTCGCCCTGCCCCTGGGTGCAGGGCACACGTGCCGCCCCAGTGCCCGATCGGCTTGCTCCGCCGCTGAGGTGGAGAAGAGTCAGTGAAGGATCTGACCTTGGAAGTGAGAGGATGCATTATTATTATTAATAATAATAAAAATAATAAAAATAATTTATTATTTATACCCCGCCCATCTGGCTGGGTTTCCCCAGCCACTCTGGGCGGCTTCCAACAGAACACTAAAATACAATAACCTATTAAACATTAAAAGCTTCTCTAAACAGTTGTCTTTTAAAAGTAAAATACAGTGGTACCTCGGGTTAAGAACTTAATTTGTTCTGGAGGTCTGTTCTTAACCTGAAACTGTTCTTAACCTGAAGCACCACTTTAGCTAATGGGGCCTCCTGCTGACGCCACACGATTTCTGTTCTCATCCTGAAGCAAAGTTCTTAACCCGAGGTACTATTTCTGGGTTAGCGGAGTCTGTAACCTGAAGTGTATGTAACCCTAGGTACCACTGTAGTTGATTATTTCCTTGACATCTGCTGGGAGGGCGTTCCACAGGGCAGGCAACACTACCGAGAAGGCCCTCTGCCTGGTTCCCTGTAACCTCACTTCTCGCAGCAGGGGAACCGCCAAAAGGCCCTTGGGGCTGGACCTCAGCATCCGGGCTGAACGATGGGGGTGGAGACACTCCTTCAGGTATACAAGACCGAAGCCGTTCAGGGCTTTAAAGGTCAGCACCAACACTTTGAATTGTGCTCAGAAACGTACTGGGCCGGTAGAGTCCCAAGGACTAAGCAGAGCGGCCTGGGGAGTGCAATTGCCCCCGTGGGCCTGAGGTTTTCCCACCCGCTATGTGCACACCCACCAAAAAAAAAAGAAGAGTAAAAGGATATCCCGTCAAGCAGTCCCTACATTGCAAAACAGAAGCAATGTTTTAGCACAGACAGGCAGCAGAACGCAGGGGCAGCCTCCCTAGATTGTAGGAGGAATTTTGGAACATGCCCACTGCTGCTTCCTTCCTATCATTCCAAGCGCATACAGTGGTACCTCAGGTTACATACGCTTCAGGTTACAGACGCTTCAGGTTACAGACTCTGCTAACCCAGAAATAGTACCTCAGGTTAAGAACTTTGCTTCAGGATGAGAACAGAAATTGTGCTCCGGCAGCGCAGCGGCAGCAGGAGGCCCCATTAGCTAAAGTGGTGCCTCAGGTTAAGAACAGTTTCAGGTTAAGAACGGACCTTCGGAACGAATTAAGTACTCAACCCGAGGTACCACTGTATACTTGAATGTGCCTGGCTGTCGTTACCCTCCTCCAAACGAAGCCTCCCAATATGTGGAATTGGATTAATATTCTTTTATAGCAGATAGCCAGCCTTAAGCCACATGCAGACGCCCCTAGAGGAATACCTGCCTGAGAGAAAAGCCTACGAAGGCATTCTCTGCAGGCCTCCGGGGTGCGCGCTGTGACCTCGGAGGACAACCAAAAATAGAGATTTCCAAACCAAGCTAATTGGTCAGTCAAGCAGGGGGCAGATGGATCTGCAACAGCCGCAGGTGACATTAAACTCCTGCATTTCCAAAAGTCACTAGCCAAGCAATTCGCAATTTCCCCAGAGGGACGAAGGTTATACAGTAATTTAAATCGAGCCGGGGTGTTTGTCACATCCCTAATAAAAGAAGAATTGATACAAATGATCCTTCCAGTTATATCCTAGATATATAATTGAAAGTCTGGGAGGGTTTGGGGGACTATTCAGTGGAAAACTACTCAGGTTTTAAATCAATGTTAGCCAGATTTGGGGCTGCCTGATCCAAAGTGGAGCTGAAATACTTGCATTTAAGCGGATTAGTCCTATTGAAATCAATAGGGCTAAATCAACCCTAATCCAAATAATTCAATTTAAAACTATTGTAGAGCAAACTGTATGTGTGTCCAATATTTTTGAAGAATTCTTCCCCCGCTTTCTTGTGCTGGCACTGGAAAAATGAAGATGCAACAGACTCCATCTTCCCCCATAATCTCTCTGCCTACAAGCGTGAGAAGAATTCTGTGTCCCCTTTTCTTGCTTGTCCACCACAGCCAAATAGCATGGAACCCCCTAGATCAGAAGATCAGCGACTGGAAGCCTAAGGGCCGAATCTGCTCTTACCCCACTTGCCAACTCAGAGGCAAGATGGCACATGAGGAAAGAGTGGTCACTGTTGTCAGCATCGCCCTTGAGCCAGTGCACCAACTGGACTCATGTACCTCAACCCCGACTGGGCTAGGCGAGCTGGGTAGCACTGCCAGAGACCTCCTTTCTCACAGGAACAGGTCACAGTGCTGTGGACTCACAGCTTAGAGCTGAGAGCACCGGATTCACTGTCTCAATAATACAGTCGTTGCGCAGCAGAGTTTTGCAGTCTTGCAGAGTATAAACCACTCGGAGAGCAGCTCTGTAGAGTATCTTCCTTTTATTCTGTAACTACAACTATGATACAAAACTATATACAGAGCTGAATATTCTAAGCATAAATCAATGCTACACTGAGAGTCTGCAGCTGCTCTTAGCAGCAACCTTATCTCTAGGATCTCTAACACTCTCTCTCTCTCCGATACACTGACTGACTGACTCTCTCACACACACAGACTGATGTGGTGCTGGGCAGAATAAGTAGATAGCAGGACACGCCTCCTCCTCTCTGGAGAGTCAGCAGAGACCATCAGGAGATCATCAGGAGATTCTTGGGTATGGGAGGGGTGAAATCTCCTCAACTGTAGCCATCCCATTTTCTGCCCAGTATATTTTGGGCCAAGGGAGACTCTACATCCTGACCCACTTCTTATTATTTTATTATGTATTGTGGCTTAGGGCCCTCGTATTTACGGGACCGCCTCTCCTGGTATGCCCCGCAGAGGGCCTTAAGTTCCATGAATAATCATAGTTTAGAGGTCCCGGGCCCTAAGGAAGTCAGACTATCCTCCACCAGGGCCAGGGCCTTTTCAGTGATGGCTCCGACCTGGTGGAATGTTCTGTCCCATGAGACCAGGGCCCTTCAGGATTTAACCTCCTTCCACCGGGCTTGTAAGACAGAGCTATTCCGCCTGGCCTTTTATTTGAATTCAGCCTGATCTTTTATTTTCCTTCCCTTCCCTCCCCTTTTATGAAGATTACCCGCTCTGAGACCCCACAGCTAATTCTCCCCTGGCCTCCTCGCTGGCCCAAGTAGGACCAATTCAGCCAGCTAGCCCTGGGGATTATCTAATACTTATTAGATGGATTTCCCCTAAATTGATTTCTGAACTTTGAATTTTATTGTTATTCATGTTTTTATACTGTATTTTATGCTGCTTTTACAAGTGTTTTAAATTTGTTGCTAGCTGTCCTGAGCCCTGTTTTTGAACCGGGAAGGGTGGGGTATAAATTAAAAAATATTTATTTATTTATTTATGATTGTTTGTAAGCCAGTTTGGGTGGCACAGAAACACAAGCAATCGATGTCAAAGGACACCAGACATTCGCAGTCATAGAGTTGGTTTGGCCACCCCTCATTCTACATCCTGCGGGATATAGGAGAGCTTGGACTTAATCTGAATTATTGGAGGTAACGGCAAGAGGAGGTAGCTGGGTTTTAACATAAGAAGAGCTCTGTTGGATCAAGTCCATGCAGTCGAGCACCATGGTCTCACAGTGGCCAAACTACAGAAAGCCAGCAAGCAGATCCTGAATGTCGCAGCACCTTCTCCAGCTGTGATTCCCAGCAAATGGTATTCAAGGACATACTGCCTCCAATAGGCAGGGAGAACAATGTCTGATTTCCGTGCGTCTACTCTGAGTAAAACTTGGCTGGATACAACCCAATGCACTGAGTTAAATGACAGAACGTGGGAAGCTACTGAACCAGGCAACCATGATTGATTTGCCTGTGTCCTTGCACTGGTACTGTGCCCCACTTTTTTGGTAGGGACGCAAGTAGCACTGTGTTCTAAACCACTGAACCTCTTGGTCTCTTGAGCCTTGGAAGGTCAGCAGTTCGAATCCCCGCGACAGAGTGAGCTCCCGTTGCTCTGTCCCAGCTCCTGCCAACCTAGCAGTTCGAAAGCACACCAGTGCAAGTAGATAAATAGGTACCGCTACAGCGGGAAGGTAAAAGGCGTTTCCGTGCACTCTGGCTTCCGTCACAGTGACCCGTTGTGCCAGAAGTGGTTTAGTCATGCTGGCCGCATGACCCAGAAAGCTGTCTGTGGACAAACGCTGGCTCCCTTGACCTGAAAGCGAGATGAGCGCCACAACCCCATAGTCACCTTTGACTGGACTTAACCGTCCAGGGGTCCTTTACCTTTACCTTACTCATAAAACCCCAAAACGGTGTACACAAGGTCCCATCCATACCCTGACCTGACACTGACAAGCTTAGTTTCAGCTAAGGACTAGGGAACCTAGGGCCCTCTCCACAGGTTGCTGGATTTCCAACTCCCACCAGCCCCAGCCAGCATGGCCAATGGTCAAGAATGATAGGAACCGTCATTCAACAACATCAGTAGGGCCACAGGTTCCCCAACTTTGAGCCAGGTGGTGGCCTCAGGTGCCTTCAGACCATGTACTGTTCAGGTGTCCTACCTATCTGCCCCCCGATCACTTTGTCTTGCCTGTGCTGTGCTATGCCTCTCGCCCTGACCTAGCCACTGTGATCCAAGCGATGGTCACCTCCAGGCTTGATTATTGTAACTCACTCTACATGGGGCTGCCCTTGAGACTGACCCAGAAACTCAGAATCCCGTGGCGATACTCCTTATGGGGTCCTCGCCGTGGGATCACATTTACCCAGTGCTATCTGCACTGGCTCCTGGTGGAGTACAGGATCAGCTTTAAGGAGCTGGTTTTAACCTTTAATGCCCTATACAGCCTAGGACCATAGCTGTCAATGTTTTCCCTTTTTTAAGGGAAATTCCCTTATTCCGAATAGGATTCCTCTCAAGAAAATGGAAAAGTTGACAGCTATGCCTAGGACCCTCGTACCTATGGGACTGCCTCTCCTGGTATGTCCCACAGAGGACCTTACAGTCTTTAAATAAAAACATCTTGGAGATCCCAAGCCACAGGGAGGTTAGACTGGCCTCGACCAGAGCTAGGGCTTTTTCAGCCATGGCCCTGATCTGGTGGAACTCTCTGTCACAAGAGACTAGGGCCCTGCGGGACTTGACATCTTTCTGCAGGGCCTGCAAGACGGAGCTGTTCCGCCAGGCCTTTGGCCAAGGCACAGTCTAACCCCCTTTCTCCTTCTGTAATCTTCATAGAACTCTAACCTTATGGTTGCCATTAATTTGATTCTGAATTGATTCTAGAATGTATTTTAATTAAATGACTGTGTGATTTAATGTACCCTGTGCTATTTTTACCTGTTGTTAGCCGCTCTGAGCCTGGCTTTGGCTGGGGAGGGAAGGATACAAAATTATTATTATTATTATTATTATTATTATTATTATTTGCAGTTTTATCTCCTGCAAGCTCTGCCATTGTAGTTGAGCTTCATTCCACTGAGACTGGTATCTCCAAGACCCTGAACTTCCTGCCTGCAATAATTCAGAACTGACAAGATGATAACAAGACTCCATGGAGTTACTTTCACTAAATACCCTACAGATCATTTGATTATTTATTATTATTCCAAACTGCCCTATATCTAGTTTAGATCCACAGACAGGTATACAAATACTGTTTCACAGTTTCCTTGAGAACGTGCTTATCCAAATTTGTTTATCACCGCAAACCTTCCGCTATGCAGCAGAGAAAATATAATTGCAAACATTTTAACAAAGATTTTTTTTAAAAAAAAAACAGCTTTCTGCTATTGGTTCTGACCTATTTCTTTCACTTTGACTGGAAGGAAGGAAGCAGTTAAAGGAACACTGTTGAAACTCCAAGCTCTATAAATAGAGTTTCCTTGGCAGCTGTCTCAATGGGCTCGTATTTAAAGACGACCTGTATACTTCTTCTTAACCGCCTCCCAAATTATCCCTGTTAGAATGTAAAATAAGAAACGCAAACACCTTACACCACACTAAGTCAAGACAATGTTGCTCCTATAACCATGAGAGATGACAGCCTTGACCTCTTACTGTGCTGGCAGCAATCAGTATATATCATCCCCATACTGTTCAAGTACAGGACATATTGTCCAATCCAGAGTTTCCCAACCTGTTAACACTTTGGGTACCACATTTTCCCGCTTCCTTAAAGCTAGAGGCACAATTCACCTGACAAACACACTGTAAGTAGCCTCCTGCAAGATAGCCCAGCTAAAACTACTCTTAGCATCCCGCTTGACCCTTCATCCACGAATGGTGATGCTCCTGGAAGGTCTCTCCTCCTCCCAGAGGGGAGGGGTTGTGAGCGGGAGCAGCTTCCCGCAGCTCCTGATTGCTCCTGCTGCCGCGGCCAAGCCTTCCCGCCGACCAATAGGGCCGGCTGGTGGGCGGGGCTAACTGCATTTAAACAGCCACGGCAGCGCTCAGTTCACAGTCGGGTTCCTGCTTGCATCGGATCTCCCACCCTCCCTCCCTTTTAGGTCAGCTTCCTTTGCGTATTGACCTTGCTAGGACTTCAGTTGGTTGCCTTGGTTGCCCAAGGGGCCTGGTAGGACTTTTTTATCCGTTTGGCAAATTGGCACCAGCCTCTTGGTTATTCCGCCTACCTCGTAGCAATTCGTCACAACTTTCTGGTATTGGTAGTTAGGCATTGGAATATGTGTGCTGTGTCGGAGGATTGGGTATGGGCCATCATCTACCCCTCCTCTTTTGGGTATTCCGTTAAAGGAATCCGGCGGTCGTGGGGTGGAGACATGTATTCGTGTTTCGTCCAATGCCTAAGCCAATACTACTCACATGCTGTAACCAATAATAGTTGCGGCCTAATTTTGCGCATTAACCTAAAATAATGTGTCTTGGTATCTTATTTATAATCCTATGCAGGTGGCGGGTCCTCGACTCACAAGTCCTCCTTCTCCCAGTGCATATGAACTCTCCTATGAGCAGCACTGAAGAATCCTGGTGCATTGGTGAACCTGTGGCCCTACAGGTGCAGGGGGACTACAATTCCCATCAGCCATGGCCAACAAGGTTAGGCATTACGGGACCCGGAATCCAAAAATTCCTCTATTAAGGCCACAGGTTCCCCAGCCCCTGGTCTTCTGGGATTAATGCAGGGAAGTGGTAGCAGAGGTGGATTTAGCCCAGAGCCTTACACCTCCTTCCCAAAGCCTTGCACCTCCCTTACCCAGCTTTGGGAAGGCACAGTGAGGGCTGGAGGTAGTGTCAAATGTTGGCTTTGCACAGAGTGCCATATTACCAAGGTCCACCCAGTGGTGGCAAGGGAAAATAGAAGTTTGGCTAGGAATACTTGGGGACCCCTGTGCATGTGACGATCTCGCTCCCAAAGGCATAGAACATTCAATGGTCCCAGCTTGGTGGCTTGATCTTAAGAGACACGCTTCCACACTTCTCAGTTTGAGAAGTACTACATGCCTAGAAGGTACATTTTATCATATGTGGTGGGATTGCAAAAAGGCAAAAGCTTATTGGGAAATGATATATAACGAGTTGAAGAAAATGTTGAAAATAATTTTTGTAAAAAAAACCAGAAGCCTTTCTACTAGGTATCTTAGGCCAAGACATACCGAAAGAAAAGAGGACTCTATTTATGTATGCCACTACAGCTGTGAGAATGTTGATTGCACAAAACTGGAAGACTGGAGAAACACCAACTAAAGAACAATGGCAAGAGAAGTTGATGAACTATGCAGAACTGGCAAAAATGACAGACAGACAATGAGAAAAAGACAACAGTGACTTTGAAAAAGAATGGGAACCATTTCTATTATACTTGCAGAAACAAAGAAAGTCTAAAGACTTGATGGCAGGATTTAAATAAACATTCACATCGTTAGTATTAGAAAATGTGTAGAAGATAGAGAAATAATATGGTGTACTTATTTTTATCTTTATGTTTTTAGGTTAGATGTTATTGTATAAATATGTTATTAGTACTTTTTCTTTTAGGAGGTAGCAAGGTGGGTGAAAGGAGAAACAAACCAGAAGCAAAAGTTGGGGGAAGCCTAGGAGGGGAGGGAGGAAGGAATGAATACTGTAGATTCCGGCGTATTAGGCAACTGGGCGTATTAGACAGGGGTTGTCTTATAAGCCCAGTCTTATACGCTGGGCAGCAGCAGTGGGCGGGCTCCATGCTGGGAGAAAGCCATACCTGGCATATAAGACGACCACCAACCTTTTAACCTCTTTTCCAGGGTTAAAAAGTCGTCTTATACGCCGGAATCTACAGTATAAATGTTATGGATATGAGATGTATGTAATGAATGAAAAAGAAAACTGAATAAAAATTGTAAAAGAGAGCGAGAGAAGTACTATATGCCTCAAACGTTCTGCTTCTCAACTGCAAGGCCTTTTTCAGTCTTCCCCACCCTAGTGCCCTCCAGACGTGTTAAGCTACAACTCCTTGGTTATTGGCTATGCTTCCTAGGGCTGATGGGATCTGGAGTCAAAAACAGCTGGAGGGCACCAGGCTTTGGAAGTTTGCCCAACCTGAATGCCAAGGGTGGTTCTTTTTCACGCAGCTTGAAATATTTCCTGTTGCTATTTGGAGCAGTTTAAGAAACCAGAATGCACAGTTCAAGAATACACACAACAAGGTGCAGCCCCTGGATTAAACTCCTCTTCCTTGAGCAGAAAGAATGGGGAAGTAGCCAAAGAAAACAGAGAACAGAGAAGCTAAAATGCAAATATTTCCATGCCCACAATCACAAATTCGCTGTCTTGTCCACAAAGGTGTGTTTGTGCCTGAATGGACTGCAGATTAATTGGTTGTTTAAATGTGTGAATCCAACCCCACTAGACAACAATTTCTTATCAGCTCAACCAACAATAATTTCCTAAAGAATTCAACAACAAAGCATCAAGTATTGGCCCAATTAGGACAATCAATAAACCAGCCAAGATATTTACAAGCATTTGGGCATGCACACAGCCTGTTAGTCCTCCTGTCACACAAGCTGAAAACAAACCAATATGTCTTTCATTAGCTATTGTTTCCCACTCTATCCAAACAAGAAAAAATGCTGCCACTGACACCAACCTCAGAGCAAGTCATGATATTAAGCCAGCTTCAAGCCATGGGTCACCATCCTGGCTTGTTCTTAAGATGGAAACAATCTTTCCCCAGCTTGAAATGGTGATTAAGTAAGGTTGCCGTACGTCCAAATTTTCCCACTGCAGTCGGCAGCAGTGTCCTGGCAGAAATCGGAAAAATGTCCAGGAAAATCTGGATGTATGGCAGCCTATATTGGCAGTGCCATTTTTTGGCCGTTTCCCCATAAAAATAGCTCAACATTTTCACTGTTTGAAATATGCTAAGCCTAGATTAAAGCTTCCTTTTGGCTCATGGGAAGAGAGGTGCCAAACTGCTAAGAGCATGGACAAACCAAGGCACATTCATCTCCACTTATAAAGAATACACATTTGTCCCATTGAACTAAATGGGGCTTAGTTCTGAACAGGCATGCAGGGAATACACATACACGTGGATTAGCCCCAGACTTCAATTAAAAATGTAATTTACTGCCATGTACAAGTTAAGATCTTTCTTTTCACAAGGCCTTTTGGTTTATTTCTCTTGTTTTAGTTTAATCCTTTTTAAAGCTGTGTGATTTGCTGGTTGTTTTCTTTTTTTAAAAAAAAGTACTGTTCTTAACTGGGAATTGAGTTCTATCTCGGCGGTCTCATGTGTAACTGAGAGGTAAGATAAAAAATTTAAACAAATAAATCCCAGTCTACAGAAATTAGAGCAGGCATAGGCAAACTCGCCCTCCAGATGTTTTGGGACTACAATTCCCATCATCCCTGACCACTGGTCCTGTTAGCTAGGGATCATGGGAGTTGTTGTCCCAAAACATCTGGAGGGCCGAGTTTGCCTGTGCCTGAATTGGAGTATTTATTGTCTCACTGGAATGAGTCCAGGACAGTGTGATCCTATTTATGTAATCCCATTTATGTTTACTCAGAGTAAATCCCATTGCATTCAGTAAGGCTTACTCCCAGGTAAGTTTTTTGAAATAAAAACTGCACTTTCGTTTTTCCCCCTATGACAATTCCCACATCAGAAGAGATAAGCCACTCATTTCAAGTTAAAAACACCCAGTCTCTTCAGCAGTGGAAACATGCCTATCCCATTCAGTTATGTCCCTTCTTTGGATCCAAACTAATGGGACCACCTTTCCTGTTGTAGCGTGTTGCAGTGCTAAAGTGGTGGAACAAGCTGACTGGAGGTGTATCCAACTGGGTTTTACAGAGAGAGAAAAGACATAAAGCCTACCATTTTAGACTGGCTTTTAAAAAGCATTTATTTTCCAGAAACAACTTAGAACTAGTTCACTTTTTTTTTACACATTCATATGTTTTTATACTATCTTTTGCAGAATATTGCTATTTTTTCTTTTTTTGCCCACCTTCCATTTTAATTCTATTGCTTATGTTCACAGGCTGGGATTCTACAGTTCAGCATGTCCAAAGGGCCTTGGGGCTTGTATTTTTCAAACAGTGCCCCTTGTTGCTTTTGAAACCAAGGAGACTTTGAAAATAAGATTGCAAAGATATGGCATAAGATTTACAAAACCTAATGGGTATGGGTAAACCATTAGGGATACCTAAAGTATTTGTTTGAGTCTCAGTGACAACATTTTTTAAATGTTTTAAAATGATTGCATCATTTTGCACTTTTATATTGTTTGTATAAGAGGTGTAGAACTAAATAAATTTTTTAAAAAATAAAATGTGATAAAAAAATTAAAGAGTTTGCCACTGTTGGCATGAGAAAGATAGGCTCCCTCATTTTCTGTTCCTTCAAGAGAAGAGAGCTATGCTAAAAGTTGAGTCTCCAAAATTTCATTTAATATTTCAGGATTAGCGGCAGAGGGAGAGACAAAGAGAACTGACAGAAACAGAGAGAGACAAGAACGAAGGTGATTTCTACATAAAATGATGAAGGTGGCAGAAAAAGGGAAGAATTAAAATAACCTGATAACTATTCTAAAATTAATATTAATGATTATCATTGTTGTGTGTCCATATATTACCAGCGTATTGGTTGTTCGTTCATTTCTGGGCCAATTCAGAAAGGAATTGTGTTTAAAGCCCTAAACGGCTTAGGCCCAAAATTATCTGGGAGACCTTCTCGAGGGCTAAAATTCAGCAAATGGGACCCTCTTAGTCATTCCTTCACCCTCAGAAGCTCAGGGATGATGGTGGCGGCCCAACAGAGGGCATTATCTGGGGCAGCCCCTAAGCTATGGGATCCCTCTCCACAAAGGCACGTCTGGCACCTTCGGTTTACAGCATGTAGGCAAACTAAGGCCCGGGGGCCGGATCCAGCCCAATCGCCTTCTAAATCTAGCCCATGGACGGTCCGGGAATCAGCGTGTTTTTACATGAGTAGAATGTGTCCTTTTATTTAAAATGCATCTCTGGGTTATTTGTGGTGCCTGCCTGGTATTTTTACACCTCTGGGTTATTTGTGGGGCATAGGAATTCATTCTCCGCCCCCCCCCCAAAAAAAAATATAGTCCGGCCCCCCACAAGGTCTGAGGGACTGTGGACCGGCCCCCTGCTGAGAAAGTTTGCTGAAAGTTTACAGCTTTGGTTATACGCTGAAGATACAACTCTTCACCCTTGCATTTGACGCTTGAGATATACCGTGAGATACAATCAATCATTTTATTTGTATGTTGCCTTTCCAAAGTTAAAACTATGCTCAAGGTGGCTTACAATGTATATAAAAAACCATAACTACAAACATAAAAGCAGTTGTAAATAATAAACAAAACTTCAAAAATTACACAACCAAACTGAACAACTTCCACACGAATCCAAAACAAAGATACAAAAAATGTGTATCAACAGCAACTGTACCCCCTCCAACAAAACCCCCCCAACAACACCCCAACCCAAGGTGAATAAATAAGCTGATAGCATGCATGTTTGCATGCATATTTGAAAGCACCTCAAAATGTGCATTACATGCAAACAACATGGTGCTGAACAGACGGGGTCCTTATTCAGAGGTGCATTTACGTCCATAGTTTGCCATCCTAAGTAATGCATGCATACAAGATGCAAATCTCCTACACAGGATCACAGCAACTGAATGCAGATGTTGCTGAACATCCCAGAACTCCCACCAGCCCCAGCAAGGATGGCCAGCGGACAGGCATAATAAGGACAACATCTGGCAGAGTCAGTGTTTCCCCACAACGGAGAACTGCTTTGAGCAACTTTTCAGAAAATATCATAAGCTGATGGTGGTATACTTAAGATACCTTGTGTGAACCGTTCCTGATGCTGTATTTTACATTGTTGTGACTTGCAACCTCATGGTGAAGGCAGGTATTAGATATATTATTATTATTAATATTTATTATTATATCGTAGGCCCCAATTCACACAGGGCACCTACAAGGCCCACAGGCAGTAATGCAGAATTCGCCCAACATCCCAGAATAATATTTCTGTGAAGTATAAGTAATGGCGGACAAGTTGTCTTCCTGTCTGCTTGCTCACCATCATAGGTTTTTTTTCACAGAACAGGGGTGCCGACGTGAATAAAATGGGGGGGGGGCAGGTAAGCGCCGTCCCACATAATCAATCACAATATGTGGCACGTGCACACAACATTTGAATGGCAATGCCCATCAACTTTTTGGCGGGCAGCCCCCTCAAATGTTTTACTGGGGGAGCCAAAGGCACCTTGGCCCCTAGGAGTTGGTTCCCATGTCACCAAACAACCACCAATAATTTTTGAGACCCCCCATGGCCCTCGTTTGAAAAACCATGGCTTGAACCTACTTCACAGGTTTCAAACCCTCTTCTGAAAGCAGCTCACGGGCACTGAAAACTCCCTTCTGTGTTGGACATTACAGAAAGGAGTTGCCTAACTTCCAAGGCCCCATGAACAAATTGCTGCTCAGGTGCAGCTCATCTGATGCAGCTGTGCGGAAATCCTGGAGACCGGGCCTTTTCGGATCCCTAAAACCAAACAGGCCCTCTGCTATTGGCGCTATTTAATTGCCGCATATCCCCAAATCAGCCGCAAAACCTGAACCTTGGTGTCTTTTTAAGGCTCAAGAGCTTACACAGAGACCAACTTTGTGAAGCTGGGTAATGGGAATAAGATTTGTAAGAAGAGTACTTGAAGATATTGAAAAGCACCACACTTGTCATATATTTTTTTCTTTGAAGTGGTATCTAAGGACATCAGAAAACCATTGCTTTGAGGGCAGAGGGGCAGCTACAGAGATACAGGGCTTTATTATTAATTATTATTATTATTATTATTATTATTATTTTGGTGGGGAAACATGCAGCAGGATAGAGTGGGTTTTCTATCAGAAACTACCTTTTTTACAGCAAGTCTGCTGTTTCTGACAGAAGCCCCCCTCTATCCTGTGCTGCATGCTCCCCCAAAATAATAATAATAATAATAATAATAATAATAATGGCTTTCAGAGGGGTCGGGCAAGGATGGGGGAAGGGAAGCAGGTGGGATGCTTCCATTGGCAACCCTTCCTGGCATGCATGAAAAGGGGCAGCGGCGGCGTTGACCCTTTTTTCGCGCACATGACGACCCACCCCCTTCCGCTTGCAAGAGCGCCCATTCCTGTGCCCAGCCCATCGCGAGCATTTTGCAAAGGTGGGCTCCTTCCCTCGCCCCTCTCCACCTGAAGGATGCCTTCCCACCCACCGACCCCCCACCCCCGCTTCCTAGCCCAGCTCCTGGGGCTCTGCCTCCTCCAGGTGAGCGCCGAGGAAAAGAAATGGAGGTGGGTGCAAGGAAGGCGGTGCATCAAGAAGCAGGAGCGGCTGCCCCTGGCTTTGCAGCCCTTACCTTCCACAGCCATTCTCTCAGAGCTTGCTTAGAGCATGCATATTTCGCCTGCCAAGGGATGCTGCTTCTGCTTCTCCTCCTCCTCCCCTCTTCCCCACCCCTTCTTCCCCCCTTTCTATTTTTTCCCCCTCCACTGTTTTCTCTTTTTTCCTCGTCTGCAACCAAAAGAACAACCTGCAGCAAGAAAGGGTTAGCCCCGTTCCCGGTGCAGGCTGGGAAATGTAGTCTTTTGCCCGCAGCTCGGGCGAGGCCACAAGACCCTCCATCCGCTCGCTGCAAAGTCGGCTGTGCTGCGCATGCAATGCCCAGGGCGCGCGAAGCAAAGCGGGAACGCCGGGTTTGGAAGGGCCCCGCGACTGCAGCCGATGCCTCCGGGGCTCTGAAAGATTTTGGGGGGCAGAAAACTACAAATCCCGGCACGCCGCGCTGCGAGGTTTTCCAGGGCGACCTGGCGTGGGGCTGTTTGATTGAGGACTTCCTCGTCAAATTGGAGGAGGAGACAGGTAGAGAGGAGGCAAAGCGTGTCGGGCGCAGGAGGGGAAAGGCGGCTAACTAGGGCAAGAAATCTCGCCAGGCTGGAAGAGCATCTGTCGCTTCTGTGTGGCTTCACTGCAGCTGCTAGAATGCAAAAGGATTCCAAAAAAAACCCCAAAAAACCCAACCCAAAAAACCCCAACACAGACGCAGGACTCTGTTTCATCAAATATCATTGGGAGAGGGAATTGTTATTGTTAACAGCAATGTCTCCTGATGTATGGAGACAGACAGACAGGTCGTTTATCCACAGCCGGAGGAGGAAGGAGCGCAGAGAGCAGAAACGCTATGGTGCACCTGTACCTGCAAAACCGGACACCTTCACCTGCCCCACCTGCAATAAAACATGTCTCCCATATCTACAGCCCCAGAGGGCACTGTAACTCTCTAACAGCCTGACGTCACCTTCCATTGTCTCCCAAGACAGATGGATGCCAATAATAATAATAATAATAATAATAATAATAATACAGTGGTACCTCGGGTTACATACACTTCAGGTTACAGACGCTTCAGGTTACAGTGGTACCTCAGGTTACAGATGCTTCAGGTTACATATGCTTCAGGTTACGGCCTCTGCTAAGCCAGAAATAGTACCTTGAGTTAAGAACTTTGCTTCAGGATGAGAACAGAAATCGTGCTCCAGCGGCGCGGCAGCACGGGGAGGCCCCATTAGCTAAAGTGGTGCTTCAGATTAAGAACAGTTTCAGGTTAAGAACGGACCTACAGAACAAATTAAGTACTTAACCCGAGGTACCACTGTGCAGACTCCGCTAACCCAGAAATAGTACCTCGGGTTAAGAACTTTGCTTCAGGATGAGAACAGAAATTGTGCAGTGGCGGCAGCAGGGAGGCCCCATTAGCTAAAGTGGTGCTTCAGGTTAAGGACAGTTTCAGGTTAAGAATGGACCTCCAGAACGAATTAAGTTCTTAACCCGAGGTACCACTGTAATAATAGTAATAATAATAATTTGTATACCACCCTATACCCACAAGTCTCAGGGCAGTTCACAACATAAAACCGCAGTATAAAAACACAAAATATATTTTTAAAATGAAATAATATTAAACATATATTATGTGTTGTTTTATTCTAGCCTTCCGCTAAATTAAATGAATCACCTTTGTTGTCTCTCAAATATCAAGCTATGTAGAATGTTGTGTTCTTTGCAAGAGAGGCTTTTAATTTATTGTGCAGCACTAAATGAGTGAATGGATAACGTGTTGAGTCAAAACAGCCTTCCCCTTTCACACGCACCCACCCACCTCTCAAAGTAGCCCTGCAGAATTCTAACCAGGAAAATGTAGAAATCTTCTAGTGTGTATTTTATAAGACCGTCAGAATTATTTGTTTTTATTTATTTGCTTTTTACCCTGCTTTTCGCTAGACGTCTCAAAGTGGCTTGCAGAGGGTGGGAAAAGAAAAAACATCAACACTTGTGTGGCTGCTTTTCTCCATCTGCAAGCCAAATGTTCCAGTTTTAATAATACATGCTTAATTTCTGGCTACCGCTCTTTAAATATAAAAATCTGCCATTGACTTGCAGACCTGCCAAAGCCGTGTCTGGAGGTGGAAGCGGCTCAGAACAAGAGAGACATATAGCAAGGAAGGCTTAGCTGTGCAGAGTCTGGCCCACAAACATAGCGGTGGCTGATGCTGACAGACTGGGAGGGCAGAAAGCAGGGAGGCCAACAGTAGATGGCGCCAGAGGCAACAAGAGGCAGAGCCAACTACTTCAGGCTTTGTTCCCATCCTACGCCTCCCTGCTGGGTTCTACAAGGGCAGCTCTGAGACCAGAGCCGGCCCAGTCATTAGGCAGTGTGAGATCACTGCCTCAGACGGCAGACACCCCCCCCCAAATAACGGCATTCCCAAAAGTATGCTGCCTCTGCCAGTGGCTCTGACTTTGGGCAAGATCACATCCATTTGGGATGAGATGTCACCCCAAATCAGCATAGTCTTGCCAGAATTCAGTGTTGATGGAGAAGGAGGAAATTGACAGGCACTGCCCCACCCTGGACTGGTTTCAAGTAGGAAGGCAGGCAGGTGGGGCTGACTGAGGGCAGACTGGGGTTGGGGAATGAGCTCCTCATTCACCCTGACCAACCCTCCTCCACTGCTGCAGGCCTTTCTGTTGTCCAGTTGTGCCACAAACTCCCATTGTCTGTGCCACTAAAGGCTAAGATTAGCCAGCCATGTTTAAAAGCAATCTTCATCCTCCATCTGTTTGGGCTACAATTCCCACAATCCCTGACCACCAGCCACGCTGTCTTAGGGGTGCAGGTTTTGTCTCTCTGGGGTCTGATGTGGGGTAAATACTGCCTGGCAGTAGTGCCTTTTACTGGCCTCTAAAGTAAAAACGACACGGGTGGCGCTGTGGGTTAAACCACAGAGCCTAAGGTAAAGGTAAAGGTACCCCTGCCCGTACGGGCCAGTCTTGCCAGACTCTAGGGTTGTGCGCTCATCTCACTCTATAGGCCGGGAGCCAGCGCTGTCCGCAGACACTTCCGGGTCACGTGGCCAGCGTGACATCGCTGCTCTGGCAAGCCAGGGCAGCACACGGAACACCTGTTTACCTTCCCGCTAGAAAGCGGTCCCTATTTATCTACTTGCACCCGAAGGTGCTTTCGAACTGCTAGGTTGGCAGGCGCTGGGACCGAACGACAGGAGCGCACCCCGCCGCAGGGATTCGAACCGCCGACCTTTCGATCGGCAAGTCCTAGGTGCTGAGGCTTTAACCCACAGCGCCACCTGCGTCCCTAGGACTTGCCAATCAGAAGGTTGGCAGTTCAAATCCCCACGACGGGGTGAGCTCCCATTGTTCAGTCCCAGCTCCTGCCAACCTAGCAGTTCGAAAGCACCTCAAAGTTCAAGTAGATAAATAGGTACCGCTCCGGCGGGAAGGTAAACGGCGTTTCCATGCGCTGCTCTGGTTCGCCAGAAGCGCCTTAGTCATGCTGGCCACATGACCTGGAAGATGTACGCCGGCTCCCTCGGCCAGTAAAGCGAGATGAGCGCCAGAACCCCAGAGTCAGCCACGACTGGACCTAACCTGGATGGTTAAGTCCAGTCGAATTCGACTATGAGGTGCAGCGCTCATCTCTGTTTTCAGGCCAAGGCAACCAGCGGTTGTCCACAAACAACTTTCCGGGTTATGTGGCTAACATGACCAAACCTGCTTTTGGTGCACAGAGGACTGTGATGAGTGCCAGAGTGCACGGAAGCACACAGTATCTGTTTATCTACTTGTGCTGAAATGCTTTCGAACTGCTAGGCTGGCCTCTACAAATGCTCTGCTCCTATACTTGTAAATAGAGCAAATATTCCAGTCCCCAGATCTCCAGTGCCCTCTCACCCAAAGGAAACTAAATCCTGGCCTCCCTGTTCTTGGAACCTCTTGTCCCTCAGGGAAATGGGGAACGCACAACAATACCATTGTGCCAAAGTGCTTCTGAGAAACAATGCAGAAATCTGATATAAAAACCATGCCTTTGTTTGCATATATCCTGGAAAGGACAGAGAAAAGGTGCAATCCACCTTTTCTTTCCAGCGGCTTCCTACTGGCTTCATTTCTGCAATTATGATCTCATCACCCGCTGCTTGGAAGTAAACAGGGTTGTTGAACTTGCTTACTGCCCTTTGTAATGCAGATGCTTCTGATAGATTGCAAATCCCCTAGGGCAGGAAACAAGTTTTTTCCATGTGCTCTTTAAACCACTAGGTGCACCTGCAATCTATTAGCAATATTAATTGCAGTGGGCCGGAGATGTTCCCATTCTACAATCTCATCAAAACATTGAAATAATAAAAACCCTGGGCACTTGTTCAAGCACAGCTCCTGTACATTCCATTGCAAACAAACGGGCAGAAATCTTGGGGATGATTTCTTCTATGCTGCTTTCTTTACCCACATACAAACTGAGTTTAGCAGAAGGGAAACGTCGCTAAGTATTGCTGCTGTCATAACACCTAAAGGGAATTGGTTTAATGGCACTGGTCACCATGTTGCAATCGTGCCCCGAAAGAAGCCAAAGGCATCGTGCAATTCAGCTGACCTCACTTTGTTGCATCACTTCTGAGCTGAAGAAGAAGAAGAAGAGTTTGGATTTGATATCCCACTTTATCACTACCCTAAGGAGTCTCAATGCCAACAAAGGTCCTTATAGTAAAAGCTATGGTTTTCCCAGTAGTGATGTGTGGAAGTGAAAGTTGGACTATAAGGAAGGCTGATCGCCAAAGAATTGATGCTTTTGAATTATGGTGCTGGAGGAGACTCTTGAGAGTCCCATGGGCTGCAAGAAGATCAAACCTCTCCATTCTGAAGGAAATCAGCCCTGAGTGCTCACTGGAAGGACAGATCCTGAAGCTGAGGCTCCAATACTTTGGCCACCTCATGAGAAGAGAAGACTCCTTGGAAAAGACCCTGATGTTGGGAAAGATGGAAGGCACAAGGAGAAGGGGACGACAGAGGACGAGATGGTTGGATAGTGTTCGTGAAGCTACCAGCATGAGTTTGACCAAACTACGTGAGGCAGTGGAAGACAGAAGTGCCTGGCGTGTTCTGGTCCATGGG